TTCCAGTTGGGGGTTTCAAGGCTAAAAGAGTTCTATATCTGTTCAGATTGTCAGAATTCATAGTGAGCGATGACACGGTTGCCGCACAACTTCTATCAGTGGACTACAAAATGGTCTTGATATCGGTGATGCCCCCATGAACCCCTCCAGAAGGTCTTTCATGTTCCTTTGTCGAAGTGAATGGTTTGTTATCATTGGAGAAAGGTGAAAAGGTGTTTTGAATCAACCAAAATGATAATTATAGTTTTGGTAGTCTATTACAACTACATATGACAATTATCCACCCGCACAAGGTGTATTTCAATAATGACATTGTGGTTAAACATGAATTTAGGAAGATAGAGGACACTTATTCAATTGTATACTGATTTTAATTATAAAAATATAAATTCCTTTTACTTTTTTGTTTTCCGTATTTTTGGATTATATTATTATCGCTTTCTAGATGTGCAGGTGATGGTAAAATTACTTCAAGCAATTGAAAATTTACAAAAGTCCAAATATTTTATTTTTTTTGGGTTGATTGTATTTAAAATCTAATGTATATTTATGAAAAAAAAGATAACATAATACTTAATATTCTCAATTCACTTACAACATCATAGGAATAACATACAAAGCCAAAATCTTCACTTATAGTCAGAAAGAATGTTAAATAGCCCAATTTAGCAAATCATGCATGTAACATACAAAGCAATTAATGCTAACTATATTTACAAGATTGGGTGCTATATGAGCACCTAGATAAAAGAAATAAAAATGTATTTTTAATTACATGGAATGTGTAGCCCAAAGATTGGTTCTTTGATCTTTTATTTATTTGACTGGGTGTTAATAGTTCTTTGGTCTTTTATTTACAAGTAAACATTCTAACTTATTCAGGTAAAGCAATGGAACATTGGTTTGATACAAAAAGAGACAAAATTTTGAGCACAATTCCTTAGAAATTCACAAGAAACATTACAATAACGATTACAATAACAAGCACATGCAATAAATGACAACTTTCCCCGAAACAAGTTTATAAACACAATGACAGTGACAAAACATATTTCAATAGTTAAGAATCAAATTAATAAGATGAGAGCTAATAATTCCTACACAATCCTTACGCAAATTTAAAACACATCACAACTGCAACAAGAACTCCAATGAATATCCTCAAAAGAAATAAGACAACCTTGAAGTTATTTCTAACCACATCATCATGCTCACGTAAAAGACATAAGATGTCATTGATTGTTGTTATGTATTCATCGATCCATTGAAAAAATTTTTAATCATTCTTTGTTCAATTTTGTGGGAAACAATAACACATTCATCCTTTATTTTTAACCTTATGAGTCATATATATAACATCCAATTGCATCCACAATAAACTTGGGAATTACGGAGAACACTCCTAGTTGAAGAAGATTGACTGGGAATTATTCTTGTAAGAACAACAAATAATACTGATGAACATACACAAATTGCAAATTTTAAAAATTAAAAATGCTAAAATAGATGCACTAGCACCATCAAAAACAACTTGCAAATTAAAATTATAATATTAAAGCATTAAAAAGGAACTTACTACACTAACCATTATTCTCCCAACAAGAAATAATACACAAATGTTTTGTGCTATCATTTATCATATAATTCCTAAAATGAAAAATACTTCCACTATTTAACTGCAAAGTAACAAAAGTAACCTTCTACTAAGGTTATATAATAGAACTAACACACCTTTTAATAGCATTCAATGAAATAACCAAAGATCTTGTTAAAATAATCCTAAATAGTTGAGATGAGCTAATGATGATAATGAGGAGTAGGGCTGAGGCATATATTATTTGTGCAGGCGTACTTCAGTCTACCATTTATATGGTAAAATCTAGTAACTAATTAAGGCAAACAATTGAAATGTGTATAATCAAGAATCCACATACATTGGGATTAAAACATTTAGGAGCATCTAGCGAGACAGATGAAACTTGCTGCATATTTAAAAGATATGCACAAATATTAAAGCTCCCAAATGAAACATATTAAAGAAAAAGAATAACATGTCAATCGCAACCAAAATTTGCTGGTAGAGAATGACCATAAAAAACATCTAAGAAAGAAACAAACCTTATGGATGATTCGAAATACTTCAATAACAGAACTTGCTTGCTTCTGTAGAGATGACAAAAGTCTTCCAATTCTACAGAGTATAATAAAACATATCATTAGAAAACATTTGGTGAATCGAATGAATGATGTTAAAGAGAGAGCACGAGTTATATGATCTCCAAAATCTTTTATCAAATAGATTGGTGTAAAATCTCTCATGTGAAGACATCAGCATACATAAAGCAAGTCCAGACAAAAAAATTAAAATGCAAATTTACCTACATCCAAACACACAGCAGTCTAATGGATGTGTGTACATGCTATGTATAAGAACACAATGTCACATAGATACCTATACAATATATACACAAAATATTTGCCCTAATATTTTACAAAACCAAAAAAAAAAAACAAATGCGTAGGAGAGAGGCAGGCTGGAGAAGAGCTTTGTAGCTCGAAGTCCTCTGAATCTACCCAATTCACAGGAGAGGGGCGGGATGGAGAAGGGCTTCTGGGCTCGATGTCATCTGAATCGACCCAATGCATAGGAAAGAGGCGGGCTGGAGACGCACTATCCTCTGAATCGAATGTGCAAGAGAGAAGAGGGCTGGAAACGCGATGTCCTCTGAACCGACCTACTGCATAAGAGAATTGTGCAGGAGACGAGAAATGAGGCGGGACGGGGAGATGCTTGAGCCGAGAAAGAAATAGCACGGAAAGAGACGGAGGCGTACAACATGGATGGCCCGCGACGGAGAAATTATTGCAGAGTCCGTTTAAATAAAAATAAAAAAATTAAGGTGACCGAAATACATTCGAACCGTAAAATCAGGTAATTTACGGTCCGGAAACCATCGAAATATATTCGAACCGTAAAATCAGGTAATTTACGGTCCGGATCAGACACCGCATGCAAGCTGCGTGCCCGATCCGTATGAAATAATTTTTCCCCGCGATGAGCCGGAAAAGATGGAAGTCGAATGAAGGTTATGGGAATAAGACCAGCACTAGTGGGGTAAGGAGTTAGGAATGAGGAAGCGTAAGTTTAAAATGGTAAACTTGTAATATTGGAAGTTGCAGTGATTAGTTATTTATAAAGTCTTAAGAGATGGAAAAAAAATTGTGGTCGTAGTCTGGATATGAGCTGCATCCGTGCATAATAAACGTGATAGAGCGGAAGTCCGAGCATAATATTTTTTCCAAGAAATAGGTATGCAACTTCGTCTATTTTTTTTGATTTTAGCCTAAAATGATGTATTTTTGGCTGCAAATCACATTTGTTTTATAAGATTTATGGAATCCAACTAATTTGAATTACATAAACAACAGAGAGGAGCTCCTGCAATCATAACAAAAATTCTTCCTGTGATCGAATTTATTAAGGGCTTGTTTCGGGCAGTTTATAAGTGCGGCGGCGTTTTGAAAACGCCAGCTATCTGTTTGTTTCGCACGTCCGAACAAATTATTTGAAACCTGCGATTACCTTTTTCTATTACACGCAGATCATGGGGTTATACCCGCGATCCTCGTTTTCGTTCGTCGTTTTCCGCCTCTACCTCTCCCTCACAACAAAACCTACCCTTCGCCCTGAACCTTCGCTCTCCTTCGCTACGCTGAAAGCCATTCGAAGTCGTTGCTCTTCTTCGCTACGTTGAAGGCCATTTGAAGCCTTCGAAGTCGTTTGTTGTTGTCTGTCGCCGAAAGTCAGTCTCCCCCGTCCTACACATCCTCCGCGCTCTCCTCCGGGCGAGGAAGATAACCTTCGTCCTTCTCCTTCTTCCGTCCAGCAAGGAAGGTAACCTTCGTCCGATCCTACCCAAAAACTAGTGAGGAAGGTAGCATTAGTCCTTCTCCTCCTTCTGTCAGACCTGTCTGATCCTTCTGTCCGATTTTAGGATTTTAAAGATTTTTTTTTTTTTGCTGTTTATTAAAGATAGGTGTTATGCATGTAAATCCCCCTAAAATTTTATTTAAAAATCCTAAACTTTTATTTCTTGTCAAAACTAAAACAAAATATAGATATTATTTTAATTTGCTCAATTAAACTTCATAACTTCTTACTTTTAAAAAATTAAATAATAATAATTATAATTGAATAATAAAAATAAGTCGATTTACCTTTAATATTGGATGTTTTATTCCAAAATGTATCAGTTGATTTATGTTGCGAGCGTTTAGTTGAGAGTAGCTGACAAAATATTTGAATAGAAGTTTGAAAACTTATGTTCAAATTCATATATCTTTATGGATAGCTTTAGATGTTCCTAAACTTGGTTATTGAAGTTATAGATTTTAAAATTAGTATAAAATATAATTTTTTTTTACAATGTATGTTACACATAATTTAAAAATAATTTTTGGAAAATTAAAATTAATAATGTCTAAATGACATTTTATCAACAAAAAGCTGCAAATCTATTGTTTACTAAACGCAAAAACCAAATAACTAAACAACTTATCCAGTACAGGGGCAGAGTGGTCATTTATCCAGAATAAGTTGTTTTCCAGACGCACAAACCAAACATCCAACTAGCATATTCGGATCAGCTGTTCATCAGCAGATTATCAGGATCATCTGTTTATCAGCAGAAGCTGGATAAGCTGCAGCTGCCCCAAACAGACCTACTAGTCTAGATTTATGCCGAACAAGTAACTGAAAAGTAGAAAAAATGTGAGAGAATATGATAAAATTCGATTTAAGGGAATGTTAGATATATATATTTTTTTTATGTTTCTAAATTTAAATTATTATTTAGTTAAACCTATTAATAAGTATGTTACCAAATAGCCCTCAACTTTTTTCAGAAATCTGTTGTGTGCTATTCACAGACGATGGCTCCATTAGGAAATGAAAACCGAACATCTCTCTCTCTCTCTCTACTTTATACACTTCTGTCCACCAACTCCCATGAGGAGGACTTCAATTTTACTCTTCATCTCCAACCTTCCTTTAAGAGATTTCTTATGTTGAGTGTTGTCTTCTCAGTATCCTGTGCGTCCAATTTCTTGATTATCTTGAAGGTTTCTTAGTTTAAAATTACTGGGATGTGGTAAAACTTGGAAGATCTTTGCTCGACTTCGAGAGGTTAGGCAGATAACACATTCAGATATAATGAAGTTTCAAAATTTTCTTTTTCTGCTGCTTGCGACCCAAATGGAATGCCTTTTCCTTGGGACTTGTTTAGCTGTTCAAGATGAAGAGGGTAGGTGCTTTTCCACACTCCTGCTTTAAGTTCCTCAAGCTTTCTCTGTTTATAATTCCTTTGCCATAATTGAAATTGGGGTTTTAGTGATAAAGCTCCAATTTTTTTAGTTTTATGAAATTCAAAATCGCATCTTTATTGAATTCGTGACTTGAGTTGCAGTTTCAGCACTGAAATCTTTTGTGGGAGCCATTTCCGAAGACCCTCTTGCAAAACTATCAGACTGGAGTACCAGTACCGATCCTTGCAGTTGGTCCGGCGTCAAGTGCTCAGATTTGAAGAACCGAGTGATTTCTCTGTAAGTAATGGACTGATCTGTAGATCTTGAAATTGCTTTTTCTGTCGGAAAAAGAAGCTTTTTTACTGATAAAAGGTATTCTTTTTTCCCTTCACCGAGTGGGGCAACTGTTGTTTTCTGTCGTAATTTTGCTCAAAGAGTGATTATATTTCATTGGAATGATTTTAATTTAAGGCCTGAAGCATGAAATCATTAGATTTCGACCTGTTTCATCATTTTCATGAAGTCTAAATTTTTTGTGAAGTTTTGGAATTTTTTTTTTTTTTGCACGGCTTGTTATCATTATTTTTTTCGCTTCCATATCTCCACTAATTTACTCTATACGAGCATCAGGCATCTTGTGCTTACTTTGGGCTATTGGATTTTCATGCAGAAACTTTGCCAATTCCTCTTTGAAAGGCTTCCTTGCACCAGAACTTGGCTCGCTGAATTCACTACAAGAGCTGTACTTACTTTATCTATTTATAAACTCAAATTTGGGCTAATTTTTCTGATTTTTCATGCACTGCTTTCTTTAAAAAAGCGCATTACTGCTTTGCAGAATTTTAAATAACAATCTGTTATATGGAACGATACCCAAACAAATCGGCATGCTCAAAAACTTGCGGGTGTTGGATTTGAGTGTGAATCATCTTTTGGGTCCTATTCCTTCAGAAATTGGTGACTTGGGCAATATAACAAAAATGTAAGAAGGTTATTTTTACATTTTTGTCTTTTTTTAGATTCTCATGGCTTTTTTTATTGCTTACAATTTTGCAGAAATCTTCACTTCAATGGTTTGACTGGTGTCATCCCTACCACGCTTGGTAATCTGGTCAACCTAGTTGAACTCTATTTGGATAGGAATAAACTTAGTGGGCCAATTCCTGGGAGCAAAAACTCACACACATCAACAGCTCATGGAATGTAATTTCCTTCTTCCCTAACCTTTTTTTCTTAATTAAGTGGTGCCATATAACAAGCAGTGGCGATTTTCAATTATTCAAATCATAGCATCATGAAAGTAATTAATATTATTAGAAGGATTGTTAATATCAAGGCTATACTTTTATAATTGTTAATCTTTCCATTCTTTATTATCATACTTGTCTTTTTTTTTATACTGGGAGCCAATTTTAATCTCGTGGGATAAGGCTAATATACAATTGTTATAAATTAAATACGAAGGGTGTTGCTAAGAACGGATAAAAGGATGCCTGCATTAATGGAAACTTCTGCTCTCTATTTTTTTTTCTTTTAATGACATTTGATTTCAAGACTTTCATTAATGTGCCATCCTAAGGCAAAGTGTCATCCATTGGATGCCCAATTCAAATTATGTGCCTTTAATTAGGAATGAAAGAAAAATAAATTGATGTGCTAATGACCATCCTATTGTGGTCCAAGAAAACTCCATATATGGAGCATTGTTGAAAATGGATTATAAATTTTCTCTCCCACTTCCTGAAATTAGTTAGTCTTTTTATGTCATGGTAATCAGCTATTGAAACTGACACGGTGTAAATAGGCTGATTTAATCATGTTACTCTAAACTTTTTGCTGGTGTATTAACATCTAATCTTTAAGATTCAGGCCCATTTCTGAAGGTTACACAACTGGTATGTGTCAGTTAACTAGGTTAAGAGTTGCAGATTTTTCCTACAACTTTTTGTTGGGAAAAGTACCCACTTGCTTGGATTACCTTCCAAGGTACAAACTAACACTTCATTGCTCAGGTTCATAATCTAAGTTTCACTAGCTTGATTCTACTCTTTATGCAGGACAAGCTTCCAAGGAAACTGCTTCGAAGACGAAGATTCCATCTTGCATCGTTCTTCTCAACAATGTATGTTGCTCTCCCTTGAATATCTCTTCTGTGATTCTTGTAGGAAAAAAAAAGTGATAGGATTTTCAATTTTATATAAAGATCATAATTATCTTATGTTTGGGAAAATTAAATTGAATGTTGGTGACAATTTTGTGAGAAGGGCATCATGGATGATTTGCTCACAGATAAATAGCAATGAAAGAGAGTAGCTGGGGATACTGCATTGTTAACTACCGTTGAATCATTTTATCTTATGAAGTAGGCAAAATTTTCAGTTTTATGTACTATATGATGATTGATGTTGTAAGACTGGCTAGAATTAATTGGATGCGTCTATTGAATAATCCTTTTACACCCTTTTTAGGAGTTGGGAGATAAAATGGTTCTGTTGACCTAACTAGTTAATGAAACAGTTAGAGGGCTTCATACAATATATTAGCTTTATTTATACGCTGTTCTCATAAAAAATATTAAAAAGAAATAGCTTTTCCCTTTCCTTCATTTGCCAGCATTTTTATACCATCATGATATCACTCCTCATTCGGTATTTTATCCTAGATGCAACACGAAAATGCATTACAGCAGGCATAATTGTTTCAATGATTTCTATCAAAGGTTTTGCATCTTGGCTTTTTTTTTCTGGGATTTGATACTTTTTTCATGGAAATGTGATTTCAGCTATTGGCTGGGTTTAACAGCTTTTTACTGTGTTTGAAGTGTTTATTGCTTATTGAAGGTATCTCTGCTAAAAAGCAAGAAACAACAGAAGAGACTTATAAGCAACCTAGTGGCCCTACCAATCATCAGAATCTAAAAGAACCACTGTGGCTTCTGATTCTGGAAATAGTTACAGGTGCTGCTTTTGTTATCTTTTTTTTAACTTGCATGGTTCGTACTGCTAAAAGGTGCAAATCGAAGTCAAAGTCTAATGTCATAATCCCGTGGAAGAGAGCGCCAACCATGAAGAATCATAAAATCTCAATTGGTTTGTTCTGGATTCTCTTGTAAATAAATTATCTTAGCTTAAATGCATGATTACTGCACTAAATGGATGAGCAAAATTCTGATTGGTTTTGTTATGCACAGATGATGGATTACTGAAAACTATATTGAGGTATAGCCGACAGGAGCTAGAAGTTGCTTGTGAAGATTTTAGCAACATAATAGGGTCTGCCCCAGATAACAGAGTTTATAAGGGGACTGTAAAGGATGGGTCTGAAATTGCTGTTATATCACTTGCAGTATCTGTCTCTCATTGGCCAATCTGTCTTGAACTTTGCTTTCAGAAGGAGGTACAAAGTCTGAATTCCATTTAATTTTGTAAAAATACCTGCTCCCTTCGCTGAAATGAATCCTTTTTCAATTCAGGTTATTAACTTGGCAAGGTTAAATCATGAAAACACATCAAAACTTCTTGGTTATTGCAAAGAAAATGAGCCGTTTTCAAGGATGCTTGTCTTTGAGTATGCATCCAATGGGACTTTGTATGAGCATCTTCATTGTAAGTCCACATAATTTTTTGAACCTATAAAATGCTCTGCTTTTATGATATTTGATGGTCAAGAATGCACTGTTTGTTTCTTCAAAAACTGTAGATGGCGACGCAGGCCATTTATCCTGGCTTAGACGCTTGAAAATTGCAGTTGGTATTGTTCGTGGGCTAAGATACTGGCACACTGAAGTGCAACCTCCATTCACAATATCTGAACTCAACTCTAATGCAGTGTATCTTACGGAAGACTTCTCACCAAAGGTATGTGTAAAAATTGACAACTTAGACATTTTTGTAACTCAGTATAAAGCCATCTATTAACGCACTATGAGCTTTTCAGATTTAAAAAAACATAGGGTGCATTATAAAATTCCTCATTTTGGGACAGTTTCTGAAGGAGAGAGAAAGGTTTGGTGGAATAGTAATAGATAAAAGATAGAACTAATCTCTTCCACCAAGATAATGGGTCAACTAGGTCCTCAAATCTGTGTAGGAATAAGCCACCAGGCTAAATTTCAATTAAGAGGGTAATTGTTTGCATTGATTTTTAATAGCCATAACATCTCCTTATGGTATTCATTTTCATAGAAAAGTAGAACATTCAATTGATAGAGCAGAGATCTTGATGTATTATTGCAATTAAGAACTTAAGAAATTAAATTTTGGACTATATGAGCTTGGATTTCGACAAATTTATAGTCAAATAGAAGGACGTGATAAATGAATACGGTACCCAAAGTCATTGCTAATGAGCTCAAAATTACTCAATTTCGAGATTATTAAGACACATTAAATATTTAATAAATTGTCTATAGTTAAGGAACTTAATATTGTTTGCTCAATAGAATATTTTAGAGATTTTACCTGAATTTATAAAGATGCCATGAAAAAATGCATATCCTCATTCTCCTCATGAACTAGCCTTGAAAGGAGAGGGCATAATGATTTGAGCTTTACCCGACGTTTGATGCTAATGATTACCACTAATAACTACCATCACCCAATTATTGTCATCCAATTATCTTTCTGATTGTCGTCACTTTATTGTTACTATCTAAACATTTTACTCTGCAATTATTGATTGAGAGCCATCATTTGATCAACATTCATTGCCCAATTTTCCATCGACTGACTGTTGTCATAACTTTTAAATATAAATCGAACATTCTCAACTATGTCCAAAGGAAGTTAAGCTTATGTTATGAACTTTATAGTCCATAAGAATATATAAGTCTACACTTATCCTTTATATTTTCTATTAATATGTTAGATTGTTTCATATGGGTTGGGCTTTATGGTTTTTTCTTTTTCTTAATTTCCTCCTAAAACTCGTGTCTCCCTTCAAACTCCTATTTTATTTGTGTGCAGGATTCTTGTATAGGATTTTCAGGTAATAGTATGACATTGTCTGTGAGAAATATTCCCAGCATGTTACAAATAATTTCTTAATAGTTGATCATCAATCCCTCAATTGAGGGCAATATAATTCAATCTGTATGGTCACCATGGTCTGACCTTGGCAAGCTCATATCCTTCATTTTTTTGTGAGTTGTTATTTGTAGGTAGTTCCATCATTGCATGATGAAGTTCCTCCATAACTTAACTCCAATGTCCTTGACACATGCAATTTAACTTATTATTCTTTTGCTGCTAGACCAGCCCAACCTTATCTTTTTGACACCTTTCATGACGATACAAGTTATATACTTTGATGTCTCATTAAGGAGAAATTCTTTTTTGAGAGATATTAATCAACTCACTTATTGTGGCTTCAAGCTTGGTCTTTGATCAATGTTATCCTCTAGCATCACATTTCAGTAGGATTCAAGTTGCTTGCTATAAACCATTATGTTGGTTCTTTTGATCCTTATGAATATGCCAGTCATTACATGACCATCATGCATATTCAAATAGGACTTTGATGCACTTCTAGTCAGGTCTTCCTGACTATGCTCAAGGATTACGCCTGCGTTTGATTCTATTCTCTTTAGTATGGTTATTCACACCTTTATCAACCTCCTCAAGCTTTTATAGAGCAATTCATAACAAATTAATATATTATCAAGGACTCTTATTTTTTTTGGAAATCGCCAAAATGAGAGTGACTCTTAAGAAGTATTTTTAAGTATTCTGTTTCGAGGATGTCAAATTTCAATGGTGCATGATAAGCCACTACATGTGTTTTATTTGGAAATCTTTATTTTGGAACTTTTTATTTTTCTGTGATGTGAGATATAATTTATTTTTATGCTGATTTTGTTTATTTTGTAGAAGGGTAAATAATTATTGATGAAGCCATCAACACTTATGAAAGTAATTTGAACAGTTTTCAAGTTAACACAATAAATCACAACAAAAATTTGGTTGGCCTCTATAGCAAAGAAAGCAGGAGCAACTAAGACATAAAAAATACTCTTATCATCAAATTCATTGAGTCATTTGTTTATGTTGCATTAAATACATTTAGAATTAATATTCAGATAAATATTCATGACTGAATATCAACCAACTAAAATCACTAAAATATTTTAAATAAAAGAAACCAGTTTCAATATTGTTATTTTCACTGTGCAATTGAATATTTGATAAAAAAATATTTGTTCAAAGCAAGAGGTTGAGCTTTTGTTTCACCAAAGATATGCGTGACATTATTCATAAAAATAATATGTAGATTGTCACTCTTACAACAAAAAAGTAGTCAAATTATTAGCAATAAAATTTTTAATATTATTGATATTATTTTGGGAAAATCATTTCTTATTTACCAAAAAATATTCCTTTTATAACTCTAATTTGAAGGAATATATTATTTTTACTAAGATTATTGAATCAATCAATTGAAATTCAAAGAGCTAGGATTAACGCTACAAAAATTTTAATTGATCCAATTCAGCCAATGAATGGTTTATCACCTACATGAACTTCGGATTCACACTCACTAAATTTCAACCTTATCTTTATGATATTTGTGGCTTTAGAGGGCACACCATAAGGTTTTTAACACAATAATCCTTCCATGCATCTTGAGTGAACCATTTATATTCAATCTTTTAAAAATAGTTCATGATATTAGAGACTAATTCAACGATGACATAATATTTGGTCAACAACTCCTATATTGTTTTTGGCTATTGGGTAATCTTCAATAAAAATACTAGAGAAGTAAGGATAAATTATTTATCTCTTATCTCAAGTATATTCAATAAGATCATTTCATCTTTGAAGAAATATAAAAGAAATTAAGCTCCTCATCTCATTAAGCTTTATATTTCACCAAGATATACCTTTTATCTTTTGAAATAACTAAAAATTTACTCGTTTCTAGTAATTTTGCAAAGTTATAATGTATTTAATGTTAGATATCAATGAAAATTTCTTTTTATAAATTAGATTATATTGTTCAAAATTTTATGATGGAAAGTGGTGGATATGATGATCTTTACTCTAAACTTCTAAAAAACATACTTATAAAAAAGTCTCGACGGGAAGCTAATGGTTAGATCAATTTCATGAGGGCAAGAGGTTGATAAATCACTATTCTTCTAAAAAATTTAGAAGATATAACTCTAAAGGACATATATGCTTCAAAACTCTCAGAAGGGTATTATCATCTTAGATGACAAGTTTCAGACAGTAAAAATTGGCAGTCTGTTGTCTCTTTGTCTTTGAATTTTATTACACTATTCAAGGATGTAACTGTTGTCTCAGTTTCAACACGTCTCAAATGATTTTAATGTTATCAAAGTTAATGTTGATGTCTCACAAATCTAATGCTAAAATTTAAGGTGGATATCAAGTTAAATTAATCTGTATTTTTGATAGGATTTGAAATGTACATATGAAATTTATATGAGAATGAAATATATAGATTGAAAGAATAGAAGACATAAAAAATTTTAGATATATACAATATTTAAGATATAGTTTATATTGGAGTTAACCCAAACAATAATAAACAAATAAATATTACTATTAAAAAAAAAACAATCGGAATTACAACAAACGCACTTGAAAGAGAAAATACAACAATACAATACCTGGAAATCATAAAGCAAGTATCAATCCCTCATGGGAGGGCCGATTAGCCATCTTGGGTCTGGACCAGTTCAGTCCAGACAGAGGACACCGTGGGAGAAGCCCACGACTCTCCCTAAACAACACCTACTTTATTATACATGGAGTCGACGTCGTGCTTGATGCGCTCGCACCGCATATGCTTTGCAATCGCCAGAATCAAATAAGGTGATACATTGGAAAATATTTACAAGGACCTTATGATCGAATTTCATGTAACTGTTTAGCGAGGATTCCAACTTTATTTTCTGAAATGCGGGAGTATGTTGGTTATGAGAGGGCTTTTAGGCATAATTTCTAAAAATTAAATAGTGAACTATTTTAAAAATTATTACTATTATAATATATATAAAGTCTTTTTTTGAAAATATATCACCATACATCATTTAGTACTTAAGCAAATAAAGAGGCACAAGAATGGTGGTTGATCCCTCATGAATCCATGGGGATGTAACTTCTACAAGCATTAAATGAAATTCACAAAGGCATGCACCATTTAAAAAAATAAAAGAAATTAAACAAGATCGTCAACTAAAAAACACACACAAGACATTTATACAAGTTTGCACAACTAATGGTTTTTTCATGTTACTACTATTGTAGGTTTTTATTGTGGAGTGGTAAAACCCTAATTCCTCTACTACAAAATTTAAGGTGACACCCTTTATCTTTATAAAGAAGAAACTTAGTAAACTCTTATAAAAACTATAAAATTTGCAAATATGTCCTAATCAAATAATGCTATTTAATTTTAGGTACAAAAAAAATTAGGCTCCACATTGACATTAATGTGAACAAAGACTATTTTCTAACATAAATAAGAGGGATCAAAGTATTTATTCACCTCCATCTCACTATGATTCATCCCATAAACTTCTTTCTCAGATGCTACTGGAGGAGGAAGTCCGAACTACAACGGAAACACAAATATTATTATTGAAATTAAAATCGGTTACAACGACGAATTTTCACATAAAATAAATGATAGCAAACACAGAATGACACAAACAAATACCTCAAAAGTGTATCCCAATGGTAGTGGAGGTTGGCCTGGTGGATCTGGAGACTTGGGACAACAAGGGTGAATGCAGGAGAGGGGCCGACAGGGGTTGGAAGGTGAACTGGAGGAGGGAGTCAGCAAGTTAAGGTGGCAGGAAGGCCAGCTAGGCAACTTGGAGGTAGGTTGG